TTAAATGACTTTTGATGACGCTTCGCTTTTCGGAATTTCGGTGAGCTCACTCTTTGAAAGAGTCTGAAAGAAAACGTGCTCGATTTTGGTTGTTGTGTTCGACAACTATTGCAACGCTTGTTCTACGATGATTGATAAGCTGATACTGCAGCAAAGGTGAAAATAGTGGACACTGAGGTTAGTGATAGGAGTTTCGATCAACTCTTTATTATTTGTTCAGCACACAATGGAGGAAAACCAGATCAAACACACAAAAGATACAAAAAATAATAAGAATTAAATTATAAAGTGGAAAGATTCGTTTGATACGACAGGTTTGAGATAACAGAAAATGTTGAGGAGGAGGAGGATGAGAAAAGAAAGTGATAAATAAAAAAGATGTAGCAAGAAAGGAAAGTGGGGCGGAAAGGACAGGTAGGATGAGGACAAGAAGAGATGTGGGACCGAAGTTGGCGCATTCGGTAGGCGATTGAATATCAATCAAATAAGGGCGTTCACATGGAACGAGAACACGTTATAGCCGCTAGCGTTGGGAGTTTTCGGACTGGGACACATGGCGCCCTCCATAAAGTCGCCTGTATTGTGGTTGAGGAAGGGCTCCGATATTGAACGGGTAATCTTCGGCAGGACGCGCATTACCTCATTCAGACGGACGAGAACCTAGTGGAGTGTCACAGAACGCGTGAGTCATTCGCCGTGGAGTCAAAGCTTTCTTTCCATTAAACACTTACCTCTTTAAAGAGCGGCCTGTCTGTAAACTCAAACGCAGTGGTGTCCTGAATTAGCTTGACATACACCTTTGGGATGTAGCTCTTGATGGCCGTCATGTCGGGCTTTAAATGGCCACGACCCACTTGGAACAGTATCCTGTCTCGGTTGCTGATGTGGTTGTACGGCAGTTGACTGGAGCCGAGCTCGTAGAGGACGATTCCGTAGGCGTACACATCAGACTGGTAGGTGAAGGGATTCTTCTCGTCCATTCGAATCACCTCGGGCGCCATCCAAAGGAGAGACCCCGTCGGCTGCTGACACTGCTCGGTGCCCTTCCAGTTGGACTTTACCGTGGCCAGACCAAAGTCGCCAATCTTCACCGTAAAGTCGTTGTGAAGGAAAATGTCTGTTGAAAGGGGCGGGGGATGTTAGCATTTCCCGTTGTGTATTTATGCACTTACTGTTTGACTTCAAGTCTCGATGGATGATCTTCTTCGCGTGCAGGTAGTCCATTCCCTGCGCCGTCTGCCTGGCAATGTCCACCAGCTGAAAGACCTCAAAGTTGGTCTCCATAACGTGCAGGTGCTTGTAGAGACTGCTGCCGTCGCACCACTGAGTGACGATCATCAGGTCGGGCTTGGAGACGCAGCCCATGAAGAGGATTATGTTCACGTGGCGAGTCTTCCTCAGAACGGCCAACTCGTTTTTAAACTCCTGTTAATTAAAGAGTTATTATCCTCTGTGAAGAATGATGGTGGTCACAATGAATGCTCACCAGAAGCTGCTCCTTAGTGGGCTTTGCCACCTTTAGCCTTTTCAGCGCCACTGGCCCGTGCCAGGTGCCGTAAAAGACCGTACCAAAGGAGCCGGAGCCAATCTGCCGACCAGTGAGAATCTCATTAGCGGGAATCTCCCAGTCCTCCATGCTGTCTCGAGCTGGGTTGCCGCGAATCTTCTTCTTTGCCGATTCATCGGCAGACCGTGCACGGGGCCGCCAGTTTCGCGCCTGTCCACTTCCGCCCACTGCAGATCCCATAGCGGCCGAGGCGGACTGAATGCGCGGGTCTTCGCCCTCATCAAGCAGTGGTGGCTCGAGGCTGTTTGGCGACATCAGAGAGTGAGTTGCTGTGAGGGGTGAAAAGTGCACAAATTAGCAGGCAAACAAGCAAAAATGTCTCCAAAAGCATACGCATCGTCTCCGTGCCGAATGGCTGCATCTGTGCTGCCTTGTGCTGGAGGAGCAGCTGCTCTTGGAGGATGGTCTCCGCCACCAGATTGCTCGCCGCCACCGATGACAGGTTGACTAGGTTGAAGCTGACGTTCGGCGCAGAGGTGGAGCGCTCTCGCTGACAAAGGGGCGGCTCGGCGGAGAGGTGGTTCGAATTGCCTGGTGGCTGGCCCTTCGCAGGCATCGGCGGCAAGGGCGGAGGGACTGGCCGACGGATGGGAATGCCGAAGAAGGATGGCTGAGGGATGGGGGACAGGTTAGATGACTAGAAGAGGGAGATCCAACAGCAGAGCTTACCTTGGGCACCATTCGGCCATTGGGGCCTGGCCGTCCGCTGGAGGAGGCTGAACAGGAGGTGGGCGTCACTGAGGAGCCACTTCGTCCAATGTGGTATCGCTCCATGTTGGCGCTCAGCATGTGCTCCACCAGCGCCTTCTCCGACTTGCACATCCGCAGTGGGTCACACTGTCGGTACTCGATCAGGTTGTTCACCTGGTCGCCGCACCTCTGGTGAAAGCGAATCTTGCAGATCTGACAGTACAAACCTTGGAACATATTCTTCCGACAGACGACGCAGATGGTCATGGTGAAGTAGGTTTTGCGGATCTAGGAAAACAGAAGTTGACAAAACATTATTAGAGAACTCAAAAGCACAAAACAGAGAAAAAACTCACATAGGAATGCGACACTCGTGAGCGAATGGCAAACGGGTCAATGGACTTGACTTCGATGTCAGTGCCGTCCAGCTGTGAGGCGTCCATATCCCAGTCCAGGTACTCCCTGAAGGAAGGTAAAAGTGCAGTGTTAGAAGGTGGTGGTGGATTATTGGGTTCTCTCTCGCCGTACCCAGTGTCGACCATCTCCACGTAGCAGCTGTTCATGTTCAGCTGCCGACGGGTGCAGGCCCGTTCGAGTGCCTCGCGGAGCGTCTGTCCCGGATACACCTGCACCATGGTGCGCTGCTCATTGGGAAGCCGGGCCCTGATCATTGGCCTCTGACCGCCGTTGCTGCCTGAGAGACTGCTGAAACCACTGTCCAGGCCGGACTCGGACGGGTGCTTCGTTTTGGTCCTAGTGGCAATTCTGCCTGAAAGTTTGCTTACTGTTTCAGTGCTAGAGCAGAGAGAAGATTGAGGAGATTGCGTTAAAGTTCTGAAGTGCTCAAAACAAAGACTGGCACAAACTTACCTGGGATCAAAACCGTTACTGCCTTCGGCGTCACCTGATGGTGACTTGCCGCCCTTCTTGCCGTTCATTACCGCTCCGCAAAGTACTGCTGAAACTGAAACGGATTCCACTCAAATGTCGGTGAAGGTGATGGTGAAGATCAACAATAACAAAACAACAACAATAAAATATGATAGTTAACAGCCGTTTTCAAAACAAACGGACAGCACTAAATAACTTCAGAAATTTTCACAATTACGTAAAAATGAAATTCAGGCGGAGGAACCTTATTCTAGGGTTGTTTACTGCTACTTTCGAAGAAGCCGACTGACACTTTGAAAAGCCTCATCGAGTAGAGGTTGGCAGAGTTGATACGAGGATTACACAGTGCTCATTTGGGAAAGCTCCAACTGGACTCTAGATCTTTCAGCAAGAGAAAAAGAGCTCCCAAGACTGGACAGGAGAGAGAGAGAGTCGGTGGATTCTGCTCAACGAGGACAGAGACGAGTGCTCGCTGTTGTACGGCAGTCGTACATCAGCAGCGGTAGCAGTGCAAAAGTGAAAGGGACAACAACAAAAAGAGAGAGAGAGAGAAAGAGAGAGAACGACGGTGCGTGAGCAACGATCGGCTGGGCACTGCGACACCTCGACTGGCCGCCAGTGCTGAGCACTCGCTCCTCGACGCACTGTGTGGACATCGTGGGTGGCATTCCCTAGTCCAGTGTGTCCTGCTCGTCTGTTTTTACCTGCCACCGAACAGCTGCCCGAAGAGTGACCACCTCAAGGCAAAGCCCCCACGAATAGCACACAGTCCGTCCTCGTCTTGCCGAGGCCAAGTTTGCCGACTCCTTGAGGGCACCTGGCCGACAGCGTGTGGGCCTCTCTGCCCACTCTGGAGATGCCCCGCTCCGTATCTTTCTATATCGATCAATCGGTATGCCGTACCGTTTTCATCGCATCACTTGATGTTCTATATGTTCCACCACCACTATTAGACCTCGTGAACTTGACATTTGCAATTGAAGAAGGGGGGGGGAGAAGACTGTTTGCTCGACTACTAATGACTGCCTCGGTGAGCGCAAATGTCAATTCGAATGTGGTCTGCTTGTAGAAAGTGAGAGAGTGCGAGAGTTCTGCAATGGAATCGGTTCTGGAAGCGTCACACGCAAATGAAGCCAACTGTAAACAGTGTGGGCGGAAACTGAATAGGCAAATAAGAAAGACAATCACACTCCCTCTCATTCATTCATTCATGAATTCATCAAAAAAGGAAAGAAGGCGGATAATAAGGGGCAAAAGGACTGTGACTATGACTAGATCTCATTAATTTGAAGAAGATTCCCTGGACTGAAAAGAACTTTGAGTTTGATGAAAATCATTCGCCTTCAACCGAAGACACGTCCAATTTACTGGAAGCGGTAAACGCAAAACAAAAGTTGCGAGATTGCTCAGCGTCGCCATCTACAAGTGTGAGGGCACTATTATTGAGCTCATTGCTTGTTTTGGTTTGAGCCGTCGACCAGCCTTCTTTTCGCCATTACCAGCGCCGCGTTCACTGTTGTGAGTTACTTTCTCGCTGTGTGTATCCCTGTGTGTGTGGGCACTTTCAGCAGCACATGTGCCTGGAAGGTGCTTCTCCTACCTGCTGAAGAGTGAGTACCTGATCAAGAAGAAGAAGAAGTGGAGGCCGAAGAAGTCAAAGACTGCAAAGGTCAAAGTTGAGCCAGCACACTCGGTCTCCGCTCGGTGTCCTCCCTGCAAGCCAGCATCAGCGCAGTGAGCGTCGATTGAGTTTGCCCCCAAGCCTGAGCATCCGCGTCACCTCACCACACCCCTCAGCACCTCGAATCCACCATGAACACTCTGGTCTCGCCGCATCTGATCGCCCGCTTCACCGAAGCCAAGGAGGACTTCAAGGTGTCGATGTGCCGGCAGGTGGACGCCCTCTTTGCCACGTTCCTCGAGCAAATACAGCCAAGCGGACTTCAGCTGGTGACGATGGGTCAGCCACATCAGTCACAGCTCCATCAGCCACAGGCTCCCCACCAGACGTTCACTGTGGGCGGTCAGCAGATCCTCCTCACCAGTGCCGCCTCTGCCGATCAAACCCTGGCGGACATCATCGCCGGCGGTGCTGACTCTGACCTTCTCCATCACCTGATGCCGGTGGGAGGAAGCGGCGCCTCTGCCAACACCCCTCAAACCATCACCATTAATCACTTTGGCACCGGGAACGCCACTACCTGGGAGACCATTCAAACTGCTGACGGTAGTCAGCTGCTGGCCACCAGCAATGCTAACGCCTCGGCTGAGCAGTCCCAGGCGCCACCTCAATCATCGCAACCTCCCCCAAAGCAGTCCGGAGGCAAGAGAAAGAATAGTAATATGCCAACGGCTACAAAGACCTCAACAGTGGCCACCAAGTCACGGCCACCGCCGACGGCGACGAACATTCGCGTCATTCCGGAGACGACGGCTTTCAGCTTATCGGCGCCCGGGCAGGCGGGCAGTTCAGGTATGATCGATCCGTCTCTACTCCTTTCCTTTCCTCCTGTAGATCTAATCTGTGAAATGACTGCTCCCCTACAGGCACCATCTCCCTTGTCCCCATCGTTGTCAGCACCTCCACCAACGCCCATCACCATCAGATGCAGACGACGATGCAGACGCTACCGGGGGCAGTTACATATCAACTACCTCTTCAACTACAGCCTTCCTCAGCACAACCTCCACCACCACCAGCACCGCAATCAACCGCCACTGAAACCGATCAACCGTCTACCTCTGATGCTCCGCAGGAAACCGTCAACTGGGCCGACCTCGAATCTGAGTGCGAGTGCAGCGAGTGCGAAGATCAACAGTCCTCCTCAGCTGGACAACAGGAATCCACTTCCACTAATGGCGACAAAGTGCCCGGAACTAGCCGTCCAAAGAAAATCAAGACCGAGAATGCTAGTGGTAGTGGCAATCCGTCGGCACTGATCTTCCCCTGTCCGGTGGCCTCCTGTAGCCTGGTCTTCCACCGGCGTCATCAGCTGCGAGACCACCGACTGACGTCCCATAGTGGCATGACTTCTGATGACCCCTCTTCTAAATCCTTTGCCTGCCGCCACCGAGACTGCGGCAAGGTCTTTCAGTCACCGAATCACCTTCGCCGACACGAGTGCATCCACACCAACGTTCGCCCGTACCGCTGCAAGTGGGATAGCTGCAACTTTGTCGCCATTCAGCGTTCTGATGCAATTCGGCATGTTCGAGTTAAGCACTGGCACCTTCCGCGTACCTTCAAACTACAGCAAGAGATGAATATTGAAGACACACGCGATCCGCTGGAGTTCATTGAGGTGAATCGCTGAGCAGGTAAGGGAAGAGGAATTTACCTATAGTACACAGTTTTTCATTATAATCAAATCACCAACACATACACATCGACTGCTTTTAGAAGTGTTTCACTTCCTCATCATCTTCTCTCATAGTTGCAATAACAACAACAACTGGTTCTTCAAGTCCGTTTCATGTACAATGTATAATGTATTACAATACAAGCAAACATAATAAATGACCATCTTACCAGGGTTAGCGGCTACCACAGGCGGCACTTCTTCTCACCGTTCATGGGCGAACCTGGCGGACAGTTGAATGCCGCCGAAAAGGCCTCAAAGTTTGCCAGCGGCACATTGACACGGTACTGCTCGGGCACGTGTACGTCGTAGTCCACCTGCTCGCGCCGAGACGCCAGGCGGCGATTGTTGCACCAAACCTGGTGGGGTGGTTTTTATGAAGAGATGAAATGGACGCTTGAGATCAACGTACCTGGGCGAAGGCAATGAAGAACAGCTGCTCACTGGTGAAGTTGTCAAAGGCTGGCGGGACCTCCTTCTTCTTCACCATATCCTCAAAGGCGGAGTGGGCGCACCTGAAGGTACGGTTTAACTTTGAAAAGATGTTGCGGAAGTAGAAAAATGATACCTTATGGCGCCATTGTCGGCGGTGTTCTCGCTCAGTGTGACGAGCCCGTTTAACTAGAAAAGATGATGGTGGTGACCGTGTCTGTTGTGCACACGTTGCAGTTGCACTAAATACCGTCTTTCCCGTCTGAGAGTCCTTGATGGCACCGTACTGCTCCTCGAAGCACTTTGTGGCCTTGTCGAAACTTGTGGTCGTTGCCTCCGACCACCAGGGCACCATTTTTCCGGTGCTGTCAAACTCCCTGCCCTGGTCGTCGAAGCCGTGCGTCAGCTCATGGCCAATGACTGTGCCTGGTGAAAAGAAAATAATTATATCTGCTCACTCAGCAATCAACAAAGTACCAATGGCCGCCAGATTGAGGTACGCAGGCCGATTGACGTCAAAAAAGGGCGGCTGGAGAATCGCTGCCTGACGATCAGAAGGAAAATGTGGTCGCAGATTAGAAACCCTGCTGTTTCATTGAAAGTAAGCTTACCGGAAGGTAGATGCCGTTGATTAAAGCGCCGTATTCAGCGTTCACGTCAATGGGTGTCATTGTCGCCCACCTGCTCAGTGGTGAAAAGAGGAGTTAGAGGAAATATTCGAATTCTGAAGACCAGCACTTACGCTTCCTCAATGACACGAGTCTTCTTTAAGCCCTCCCAGAAATTGGCAACAGTGAGTAGTTGAATGTCGGAAATAGTTTGAAAGTACTGTCCTTTAACCACCTTTACCGATTTACCCTCCCCAAAGCCAAGCATTTCATCTAGTTTCTCGTTGTTGAGCAACCAGCTTGGAAACGCGACAAACCGACGGAGTTTAGCCAACTTCTCACGAGCCTTCATCTTGGTGTCCGCATCCAGCCATTTGGCCTGCTCGAGCATCTGCCCAAAAGCCTTCTGCAGTTGGTCAATCATTTGCTCAGCTTTCTCCTTCGTATCCGTGGGAATGCGTTCATCGATGTACAGCCGAGCTAGGGCCATATCGAGCGTAGTTTTGACCACTTCCAGGCACCTTTTCATAGAAGGTTTATCGTCCTCCAGACCGAGTGCCTCCTTCTGCATTCGTGAGGCCTCCCTTGTCAGGCTTGAGTCTGCGTAAGTGATGGTTTTTCGTACAAAGCTCCAGCCGAGGTAGTTGTACAGTGTGGCTGCGGGGGTCGCTGCAAGAATGGCTGGCAGCTTTTGGTAGTAGCGAACGTCGAGGACGATAATCTCATCGCTGGGCGTAAACCTGTGCGACAGTCGCATTGGCTCGGTGTAACGGTTGAAGAAAGTCGTCCAGTTGAACTCGTCTTTCATGAACGCCCTACTAAAGTCGGCCAGTGTGTATTTGTGGTACCACTCACTGGAATCGCGCAGAATCTCATTGGACGTTCGGGCGTGGGCGAGCTTCGACTCAAAGTTCAACAGCTCCATTGCCGCCTTCTTCACTTTGCCTACATTTTGACTGCTGAAGAGGGCCATTATCTTGCGGACATATCGTAGATAGATAGTCAGCGACTCTTTGTTCTCCTCCGGATTGAGGTACTCCACTTCGCCCATGCCCATGTCAGGTGGAAGCAGGTGAATCAGCTTCCGATCTGGCGCCTTGGCATCGTCCATGATGGTGAAGTCAATGATGGAGGTGTAGATAAGAAAGCGACTGATGACCACCTCCAGTTCAGAAGGCGTCAAAGCGGTAGTGGACGCCACTTCGAGGATGGGCCAAGTACCCAAACTGCTGTCGATCAGCTGGTTAAGCTTGTCACTTATTGGCTTGTGACCGAGGCCGTCTCTTGATTCTGTTAAACGGGTAAATAATTGGTTGTCTTTTTAGGTTCTACTCGAAAAGTGAGAGTCACCATCAACCTTATTACTTTGATCCATGCACTCCTGGTAGAGAGCCTGAGCAGTGACCACCGATTTGGCGCGGCCAGACTGACTTTCGGCGGATGAGTTCTGTGTGAGCAAGAGATGCAGTGAAAGCTCGGTGTTCAGCCCGGCCACAGTGAATGAGCTCATAATGTCCTCGTCGGCAGGGATCGGATTGTCGGCTATCCAACCGTCGCAAGCGTAGGCGTAAAAGTCAGAACAAGGCTCGACGGAGATGTTCAGCGAGCTGGTGATGACTGTCCGGTAGGCGTAGTCGTCCTCCTCGTCCTTTTCGAAGCCATGATCGTGCCATTTCTCACTGCTTGACTGATTCAGCTTAAGGGTGAGCAGGCAGACAAGCAGCACAATGATGAAGATCACAAGGACGCAGATGGGGGCGGCCGATGGGTCGGTGCACCTGGCCAGCTGTGTCCCATCCTCACCACTGCTGGCACTCTTCGCCGGAGCAGTGCCGCCGTTTGTCTGACTGCACTTTCGGATGCTGTTGCCGGGCAAAGGGTTGCCAACAGCTGCAGCAACTGGCAGAACTGGGGCAACAGTACTACGCTCTAGTGGGCCTGTTCCCTTTGCGTCAGTTGAGGCAGGAAGAGAAGAGGAAGTGCTGGAAGCCACTGAGATACTGAGCTGATGACTTGTTCTCTCCGGGATACTCTTCTCCTCGGCGGAAAGCGGCAGTGTAGTGTTGTTTTTGTTCGAGGGGGTAGAAGTGGGGACAGTCGTAGACATATTCCGAATAAATGTAGCTCAGCCATCGATGCATTCTCGTTTTGTACATCTCGTTTTCAAGTTGTTGATAAACTCAAAATTCTAAATCAACCCTTTTCAATTCGAAAACAGCACATNGCATTCTCGTTTTGTACATCTCGTTTTCAAGTTGTTGATAAACTCAAAATTCTAAATCAACCCTTTTCAATTCGAAAACAGCACATCAGGTAAATCTTCTGTGAATCTTCCTCAGGAAGAAATTGAACAATAAAAAAAGTTCTTAGGCTTCGAGAGTCGAGCCCAGGTAATCAGACTGCTGTTTTGTTATTACAATGACCTCTGAGTTATACCCCAAAATAACTTGCTACGCACCCCAGGGGAAAGCTGCTTTGATCTCAGCCACTCAGGTTCACAAAGGCATATCGGATAGTTCAGTTTTTAGCCTTATTATGTTTATGAGCTGGGGAAAAAATCATCGTCAGTGTCAGGCACTTGTTGATAAGTCGAATGATCAACCTGTTCGTTTAAATACGTCGTCTTTGAAGGGAAGATTTTTAGTACTTAAAAATTGAACCAGGTGTTTTGTTTACGTTGAAAAAACTCGTCGTCACGACTCACATGAATAAGAGTACCATTAAAGATTGGTGTCGAGCTGTTATGGCAAGTCCAGGGGAAATCAAGAATACTGTCAGCAGAAGATCAGTAGGTAATAAAGATGGCAATGGTGAAACTGCGAAATATCGCAACTCGAGCACTGAAGACACCAGTGAGGACAACAGAAAGGTATGTTTTTATCTGACATGAAAATAATACCAAATCTACATTTATTACCTTTCAGAGTGCAACCATCGACCTCCAACATCTGGACGAGGAGAAGATCAACAAACTCTTTGAGGAGCTGATCATCGACGAGCTAAACCTGAAGGAGGAGCAGAAGGTGGGCCTGCGCGCAAAATCAAAGAAGGAGAAGCTCTTTCTCATTGAGCAGAAGGTGAAGCTGAACTCGGCGGATAAGAACCGCAACGACAAGAGCTCCAGCTCAAAGTCAAAGTACAAAACCGTCCTCGACTACGTCAACTTCCTCGCCAACTGCACGGAGCCGGGCGCCATCGGCAGCAAGGAGCTGGCCGAGTGCATCAAATCGCTGAAAATTGAGCTGCGCGGCAACACCGTCAGCTGGGTGCGCGATTTTGGCCGCCACAACGGCCACATTAAGCTTCTCAGCATCATTCGCCTCTGCTCGAAGAGCAACAAAGTCGGTGGAAGTGGTTTTGGTGGTGGTGGCGTCGGATTTGGAGGAGCAGGATTGTTGGGCGCAGAAGCAAGCGTCGGCGGAGCTGGAACATCCGGAACCGGAGATGGCGGTGCTCACAGCTATTCCACCACCACCGGAACTAGCAGCAGAAAGCAGTCTGCCGTGGCGGCGTTGATGGCCGACTGCGTCCAGTGCCTCTCCTCCTTCATGAACAACAGCAC